TCAGAGTGGGGGGGCCGCGCGGTCATTCACTGCCCGTGGGTGCGCATTGTCGTTGTTGTTGTCGTCGTCGTTGTTGTTGTTTTTGTTGTTGTTGTGTGTTGTTGCTGCTGTTGAACTCTCATTTCTGCAAATTGATTATTGTTGATCCCCCCCGTCCGGTGCACATTGTTTTTTCCGATTGAAGTGCCCTTCCCGGGGCTCGCACCCTGTTTTTCTAGCAAAGAAAATCTTGAGGGTCAAACTGTGTTGTTGGCCCCCTGTTTACAACAACAACGGCTCCCGCCTGATACTTCCTCACAGTGTATTGAAGAATAGCGCTCTCGCTTGGGACTTGTTTGCAATTTACCACCGGATCGCGGCTCCCGCTTGATACTGCCTCACAATTTATGAAGAAGCGCGCTCTCGCTTGGGACTTCCTTGCAACTTACCACCGAAGCTCCTGCCTGATACTTTTTCACAATTTATCCAAATGCCGCTCCTCAACACTCAGGAATCGCGCTCCTGCTACATAGTGCATGGCGGTTCAAGCAGAATTTACGCTTCAACGACCCGCCCGCTCGACCCGCCCGTCTGGGCCTGCCCGCCCGACCAGCCCGTTAGGGACTGCATTCGCCGCTCGCTGCCCTTCGTCCGCCTTCGATGCCCCTCGCTGCCCGTACTGGTTCCGCGGTCGCCTTCGCGCGCTGCCCTTCGTGGCCCCGTTGCTGCCCTTCGTGGCAGGGAATGGATATACCCTCCAAACGGGGGTACGACTGAAGACGAAAAAGGCGGGTATCCAGGGTTTCGGACCTGCATATTGAATGACACGCGAGCAGATAAGAGCATACAGTCCTAAGATGATTGTTGTTGTTGTAGCTCTAATTTCAGTTTGAAGGAAAACAAATGTTGTTCATCCCCCTTTCCGGTAACCCGTGATTTGTCCATTAAAGAGCTTCCCCCGGGGATCGCTCGCACCCTGTTTTTCGAAAAAGGGAAGGCGACATGTCATCAAACTGGGCTGTTGGCCCCAAATATACAACAACAGCGGCTCCCGCCTGATACTTCCTGACAATGTATTCCCAAATCGCGCTCTCGCGTGGGACACCCTCGCAATTACCCTGAATGCGCGTTCGTGTTCTCGCCTAGGCGCTGGCTGCAATTCATTGTGAAAAATAGGTTCGCGCTCGGGCGTTTCGGGAGTCAGCCAAAAATGGCCCCCAAACAACAACAACGCTCCCGATCGATATTCCCCCCTTTCTCACTCGGGACCAAAGCTTTTGCTCGCCCCCCAAAGCAGCCTTTCAAGCAAAATCGGCGCTCCCGCTCGGTATTTCCCTGCTTTGCACCGCAGGACCGGCGCTCCCGCGTCAGGACCCCCTACAAATAACGGCGCTCCCACTCGATGCTTCCTCCTTTTCCACTCAAGACTCCCAAGAGGCCCTGAAGCTCCCCTGGGCCATGCTGAACCTCAATCCCACCAGCCCCCGGGGAGACAGGTGGTCTAAAGAGGGTCTCTTTCCTCTTCCACGACCCCTCTTCCTTTCGGGGGGGAACCCTCACCCTCCCCTCCCTGGGGAGGGGGCTCGATGCGTCAGAGGGTCCTTGTTCGGCCCCTGGGAGGGTCACTTTTTGACACCCCTCACAAGGATCGTGGCCCCCGAAGGGGGGAGCTACATCGAGGACCCCCCCTATTTTGACAGACCGCCTCCCAGATGGCCCCCAGAGGCCCTCCAGGGCTCCCCCAAGGGAGCTCCACGAGCGCCCCAAGACGCCCCAAGAGGCATCTAAGAAGCGCCCGAGAGGCCCCCGAGAGGCCCCCGAGCGGCCTCAGAGAGCCCAAAACGACTTCCGAGATGGCTCAAGATAGCCCAAGATGGCTCCCAAGATGCTCCAAGAGGCCCCAAGACCGCCCCAAGACGGCTCGAGATGGCCACGGAGCCTCGACGGAAGGCCGCCAAGAAGCCAAAATCCTTCGACTATGCGTGTCTCTTCCTGTCACCCCTCGTCAGCTCTCATGGGCATCATTTTTGGATTGGCTGGCGGGGATACGCGAAGCGTCAGGATTCCTGAGCAATTAAGATTGTTGGACACCCTGAATGCGCGTTCGCGCTCTCGCGCCTGCTCCGCGCGACTCCGCTCTCGCGCGTGTCCTGGGGCGTGGTGTCATCGCCGTCGTCGTCGTCGCCGTCGCCGCCGCCACCACCGTCGTCGTCGTCGTCCTCGCCGTCGTGCTCTGGAGGCCGTCGGGGGCCTCCTGGAACTCCTGGAGACACCTAGGGCCAGGGACAAGTTTTGGAGGAGTACAGGAAGGAGGAGGAGGAGGAGGAAGAGGAGGAGGAGGAGAAGGACGAGGACGAGGACGAGGACGAGGACGAGGACGAGGACGACGGCGACGGTGGCGGCGGCTGCGGCGACGACGACGGCGACGAGCCTCAGCACCATCAGAAAGCGGCCGACGCAAAAGCGGCCCCCGGGAAAAAGTCGAAAGCCTAAGGACATAAGGTATGAAGCTTCTCTCGAAGGCTCTGGGGGCTCTCTACGGGGCTATCCCAGAGGTCGTGAAGCCTCTCCCTGAGGTCTTAGGATACTCAGGCGTCGCGATACCTCCTCAGGCGGGAGATCAGGGAGAGGGACTATCGGACCCCCGAGTGCAAGAACAATTCCCCCATGATAGGGGGAACTATTATGATGGATGCGTGCTGCATGTAGAAGCATGGAGCATTCGGGTGCAATGAGTGTTGTTGTTGCTGTTGATAGTGCTGATGTGGTTGATGATATTGCTGGTGTTGCTGTTGTTGTTGCTGTTGTTGTTGGTGGTGATGGTGGTGGTGCTGCTGTTGTTGTTGTTGATGATGACGATGATGATGATGATGATGATGATGGTGTTGTGCTTGGTGTTGTTTTTGTTGTTGTGCTTGCTATTGTTGTTGGTGGTGGTGTTGTTGTTGGTGTTGGTACTGTTGTTGTTGTTGTTGCTGTTGCTGCTGTTGTTTGTCGTCGTCGTCCCGCCCACGACCTGGCCCGCGACCCACCCGCAACCCGAACCGCGACCGCCCCCTCACTCTTATCCGCAACTGCGGGGTGCTACATCTCCATATCTACCGGCTGCCCGAAAATCGATCCCCCAGGCGGTGGTCGGGGATGAGTCTCCGCCTCGGTTTTTGCACGCTGATCTCTCCCTCGAAGCTCAGGGAGGCGCCTCGTCACCATGGCAAGTGCTGCCTGACCGCACCCAGAGATTGGGTCGGGCACGTCCCCCTACAGGCGGATTTTGGAAGAAAACACAGACTAGTATCACAAACAAACGTAATCCAAAGAGCACGGAAAATCGCCACCTGACAATTATCTCAACGTTGTTGAATAGATTCCTCCTGGAAATGGATATGCCCGACTTAACCCCAAGACTGCGACATGGCCGGCTATGACCCCCAGGCCCAGACCCCTTCGCGCCATTGAAAAAACCACGACGGAAAATTGCCTGCAACTTTCGACCTCCAAGGCATTCTTGCCATGCCCCGGGACTCGGGTCGGGGATCTTCTGACCCGGGTCAATCCATACCCGGGTCAGTCAGGCCTTGCAGAATCCTGCAAGATCCTGCACCCAAACCTGTGTCAATGCGAAGGATCCTGCAAGATCCTGCAGGATCCTGCGCCCAAGCCCTGGTCAATGCGACCCTGACTCCGGCGCTCTGGCTGACCGCCATTTGCATTGACCCCCGTCTCAAGGCTCCCGATCGGGACATTCTTACCCTGCCCCGGGCTCAGATCGCCTCGCGTCATGGAAATATGCCCGGCGTCGGGGGACGTGGGCTCTGTGATGCACTGGCGCGTGACGATGCGTTGCGTGATTCGGGGCTCGTACATGTCTCACAAAAGAATGTATTGGGTCCGGCGAGGTGTCGCCACAACGCATCCTGTGGCCACCTCGTGGCCGCCTCGTGCGCTGGGGCGCTGGGCAGGTCCAGCGGGATTGTTGCCAAGTTGCCGCCGGTGGCCGCCCCGTGGCCGTCTCGTGCGCTGGGTGGCTCCGCCGTGCTCGGCCTCTGCGGGTCCGCTGGCGCCTGCGCCAACAAGGCTCGGCAGGAAGGAACGTTCGCGCTCGCTCCAGTCACCAGACCTGCCTGGCCCAGCTGGGAGCGAAACGCCCGAGACCACGGGCCCCCAAGCTCAAGGGCCCAAGTGGTTTCTCCTCCCCTCCTCCTCATCCTCCTCCGTCCTCCGTCCTGCATCCTCCGTCCTCCTCCGTCCTCCTCACCTCCTCTTGGCCAAGCCCAGGAGCCCGAGCATACCGATTCTGGGCCCAAGACGGGCATGGGCCAGGGGCTAGTACATGACGTACCCTGACATCCGCGGGTGTGATTTGTGCGATCCGCGGACCCAGGAAGTCCCGACCACTTCCACAGCGAACTTGTCGTCCTGGATCCATTCTCGATGGCCCCCAGGCACCCGGAAGCGGCCCCTGGGGGCCGAAGTGACGGAAAGGCGCCGCGATTTGAAACAGTCGTATCCTGGGGGATCTGGGCATACAGCCAGCCCGTAGAATGAGGATGCGCGGTAAGGATGCAGGGGCCTTGGAGAACCCTGTTCTTGTTTTTCGAGCGAGGTTGCCCAGCGACAGTCGCTGAGGATGGGCCGAAGGGGCAAGGATGCAGGGGCAGCCTTAGAAAGCTCCACATCCTGACTGTGCGGGTGGACTGACTGCAGAATCTCGTCGCCCGACGCCGGCCGCAACGAGGAGCCGACGAGATCTGGGAGCCCCGTGGGGCGGCCGTGTGCGGGCCGCGCCGGGTATCGGCTCCTCCTCCTCCTCCTCCTCCTCCTCCTCCTCCTCCTCCTCCTCCTCCTCCTCCTCCTCCCCCTCCCCCTTCTCCTCCTCCTCCTCCTCCTCCTCCTCCTCCTCCTCCTCCTCCTCTCCTCCTCCTCCTCCTCCTCCTCCTCCTCCTCCTCCCCTCCTCCTCCTCCTCCTCCTCCTCCTCCTCCTCCTCCTCCTCGTCCTCCTCCCCCTCCTCCTGCAGGGCGGCCTGCACCTCCTGCAGGGCGCGCCTCGCCTCCTCGAGCAGGGGGGCGCAGGCGCCCTCGCCGAGTCCCGCCGCCTCGGCCTGCGGGCGAGGCGCACGCCCCGGGGACCCAGCGACCCCACCCGACTGTCGGGGTGGGAGCTCGGGCCTCCAGCGTCTGTTCTCAGACGTCACTTGGGTAGACCACTGCTGCCGCCGTTTCCTCCTCCTCCTCCTCCTGATTCCTCCTCGTCTCCTCCTCCTCCTCCTCCTCGTCATCATCACCATCATCATCAGCACCATAAACGCAAAGCATGAGCAACAGCATCATCACCAGCATCAGCATCATTAGCATTCTCATCATCATCACCAACACCATCCTTATTATTATTATCATCATCATCATCATCATCAGCAGCAGCAGCATCATCATTACCATCATCAATATCATCGTGATTATCCCCATCCTCCTCCTCATCATCATCAGCATCATCATCGTCACCAGCAGCGTCGTCGTCATTGTCATCAGAATCATCAGCATCATCAGCATCATCATCAGGCAGCATCATCACCACCAGTATCGCCATCGACATCGTCATCATCGTCATCACCATCACCACCACCACAATCATCATCATGATCAGCATCATCATCATCATCATCATCAGCATTATCATCATCATCATCATCATCATCATCAGCAGCATCATCATCAACAATCACCGCCACCACTACGCTTATTATCAACATCACCATCACCATGCCCCTCCTCCTCCTCCTCCTCCTCCTCCTCCTCCTCCTCCTCCTCCTCCTCCTCCTCCTCCTCCTCCTCCTCCTCCTCCCCCTCCACTTCATCAGCAGCAGCAGCAGCAGCAGCACCATGGTAATTCCCGCCCCCCTCCCCACTCATGGCTCCTATGCTGCCTGCTGCCCTGCCTCATACCTCGTCTCGCTGGGTGGCTGCGACCTGCACAACCGTCGCCACGTTCGTGGTCTCCTGGAAGGTCAGCGAGGGTGATGCGGTGACGTCCTACACAGATCAGAAAGGAAGACATCGTCGTCCCTGGAGGCTGCCAACTGCGCAAGTGTCGCCACCTTCGCAGGCTTCGTAGAGGTCCAGGGGAGTGGCATCCTACGCACTTCAGAATGATACGTCGCCTTCCTTGAGGGCGAGTCACTGTCGCCACGTTCGTGGGCTCTTGTGGGGTCCAGCAGGGTGACGTCATACGCATTTCCGAATGATACCTCGCAGCCCCTGGGGCTGCCTACTGCGCCTCTGTCGCCACTTTCCCGCCCTTCCTGCAGGCTGCCAACTCCGTGACTGTCGCAACTTTCGTGGGCCCCTGGGAGGTCCGGCGGAGAGGCGCCCTACGCAGATCAGAGTGAAGCCTCGCCCTCCCTAGGTGCTACCAACTGCTCCACTGTCGCCACGTTCGTGGGCCCCTGGGAGGTCCAGCAGCGTGCGGTTCCAGGTGTCTTGCGCGGTTGCCAGGATGAAGGCGAGTGGGGACGATTGATGAAGAAAAGGGGGAGGAGGAGGAGAAGGAGAAGGAGGAGGAGGACGCGGGTGTCATCCTTCTCCCTATTCATATTGTTTAACCCTCCTGCGTTGGGGTATCGCTTGTCCTGCCTGCCTCAGCAGTCTAATCGGAACGCCCCCCATGCGGAGAATTACGGTCGGGAACTGTTGCTTCGCATGTCGCGGCAACGGCCTCGGCGACACGCTGTGCCCTGGTTGGTATGCCGCCCTGAAGTGTGGTCGGCCAGAACCGGCTGTGCGACACCTAAAGCAAACCTTCTTGACCGAAGCGAGCGAGGCTCGATATTTCCAAACATCGAAGGTCTCGACATGAACCAAGCTGGAGCATGCTAGGATGCTATGCATGTCCTGTGCTCTGGGGGCCGCTCCCAGGCGGCAGGACTTTCAGAAATCGACTCAAGGTGCAACGCGTGCTCTGGGTGGCCACCATACGAAAAAACAACACGTCGGATGCTGGCTTCAACCGGCCAGAGGCCCTGAGACTGACAAGCTGATCGCCTGCTTCGAAAACCTCTTCGCTTGGATTCGTCAATTACCGTTACTTGTTCCATGTTCCGATCATGTCGTGTCACTGGCTACGGTCGGGAAAGGTTGCATAGCGCCTCGCGGCGGCGGCCCCAATGACTCGCCTCGCGAGCTGATACCGTGTCGCTCCGCTTCGCGGGATGAGAGGCTGGGAGAAGCTCGGGGCGGTGACGCTTGGAGCCTGGGTCGTCCTTAGCGTGTCGCGCCGAGGCTTACTGAGCAAGAGCAAGCAGCGCGACACGCTAAATAGCGTTTCCAGGCCGTATCCCACCACCCTCGCCATCAAGACCACCGAGCTCCAGCAAGTCCGTTTTAGAAGTTGCAGACAATGGCATCGCTGTTACGGTGGGGGGATTGGATCAAGAATGCAGGGTCTAGAAACCGTTGGAACTACAATCGTGGATTGGCCATGGGTGTCACTGCCGCCCTCGTCATATATGAGATCCTCCATGCTCCGAAGCCTCCGGGGCGTATTCCTTGACAACGCCCCCACCGTACTCTCACCAGCGCTTGCCACAACTAGCGTCAACCTCACGCCAGGGAGCGCCGTGGGCACGCGCAAGACCGCGTTCGTTTCGAGCGCACGAAGCAACACCCCATGGGTGTGATCATTCCTCGCTGCTGCTGCTGCTGCTCCTCCGCCTCCTCCTCCCGATCCTTCTCATCACCATCCCTCTCCTTTTCGTCCACCTCGCCCTCATCCTCCTCGCGTCCATCCTTAGTATCTGTCACCTTCCTCCACCTTCCCCTCTTCGTTGGAGCATGTCCCATACAAGGGGAACTCTTCCACCCTTGCTCCCCTCTCTCCTTCACGTTCGTCCTCTCCCTCTGGCAACGCAGTGTGCCCGAGCATGCTGAAACCCAGCACGAGGACTCCCCAGTGGGCTGCGGAGGAAAACGGGAAACTACTACAACACACAATTGCACTGTTTTCACGGCGTGGGGGGTATCGGAACACCTCCAGGCAGGGTGCGCTCTGGGAGTCAGAGGTCGGCCCCCCATCGGACCTGACCGCGGGCGTGTTTTGGCCAGGGCTCCGAGGCGGATCCAGCCGTGGCCACGAGGGCGCCCCCAGAGCCCTCCTAAGCTTTTAAAGGGCCTCGATCCTCAAATCCTCGAACCTCCATCCCCGCCTGCTCTTCTAAACCCCGGGCCTCCATCCCCAAAAAGACTTCATCCAGAAGCCTCCTTCCCTCCGAAAAGTCTCGATCTTCATATTCTCGGTGATCGAATTATCGAACCTCCATCCTCGAACCCTCGAACCTCCGTCCTCGTTCGCTTCCCGTGCCCCCTACGCCACGAACATACATACACAGACGTCCTCCGATGGACTGCGCATGTACCTCCAGGAAGGGCGGCGGCGTATCAAATCTCTGGCTGGCATCGGTGATTCATACAACGCCCGCGCCCCCTGGGGCCCAGGAGCAATCCATTGGAGGGTGTCTGTGTGCATACTTTTGTGGCGAAGCCCCTGACCCCCCCCTGGGCGAGGCGGGGACAGGAGGCGCGGCGGAAGGCGGAGCGGCCGCCTGCGCAGAAGCGGATCCGCCCGCGGCCGCGTGGGCGCCAACTCAGGCCCCCCAAAAAGTTGACCCCAAAGGCCTCGGCCCTCCTCCTCCTCCTCCTCCTCGTCCTCCTCGTCCTCGTCCTCGTCCTCCTCCTCCTCCGCTTCCTCCTCTTCCTCCTCCATTCCTTTTTCATTAGCGAGAACTCCTCCCTGTCTCACCCCGAGGCTGGTTGAAAGGGCGGGCCGGGCGTTTGGCCTGAGAAGACCTTTCCATGCATGATCCTGGAGGTTAATCAATTGGCAAGAGCTTCGCGGATGGAGGGCGGGTGGGTTTCAAAATGTGCGTATCACTTTCGTGCTGTGTAGATACGCTTGAAAAATTGCAAGAGCTTCCCGGGTTGAGGGCGGGTCGTTTTCAAAATGTGGCTCTCGCCTTCGCGCCGCGGACATTGTGTTCAACCATTGCAGAACTTTTCACGGATTGAAGAAGGGTCGATTTCAAGATGTGGCGCATTCGTTTTGAAGTTGCAAGTGGTTCACGGATTGACGGCGACTCGTGTTCAAAATGTGGCTCTCGGTTTAGCGCCGCGCGCAGTCGTTTTGAACAATCGTGTTATGTTTCACGGGTTCCCGTGGTGAACGTGCCAACGGTGATGCTTTGCAAGGATCCAGCATGGTCAGGGCGCACAAATTACGTTGATTCGAAGTGTTGAATTCCAGGATAGGCCTTCTGGCACGATTCAGGATCGTCAGGACGCCAAAGCCAGGATGATTCGTGGCGTTGAAATCCCGGTAATGGTGTTTCGGCACGCAGCAGGATCTTCGAATAATTGTCTCCCAACGTGGCACAACCCTCAGTGAAAAAGAACCCTGGTAGGGAGCAGAGAAGAGGGAGCTGGGAGGGAGGGTTCAATCCAACCTCGTGGATGAGCCTTGGGTTTATACTGGTCCTCCTTCTCCTCCTCCTCCATTTTTTCGTTATGAACAACTCCTGCCTGCCGCCCTCCGAGGCCGGTCGGACGGGCTGGCCGGGAATGTCGCCTAAGACGCCCTGACCATGCATGACCCTGAAGCATATACATATATCTATGTATATGTATATACACATATATATATATATGTATATGTGTGTGCAACAGCTTCACGGATGGAGGGCGGGCCGTTTTCAGAATGCAGCTCTCGTCCCAGCGCCGCGCGCATCCGTCCTAAATATATGCTCGGAACTCACGGATCGATGGCAGGTGGTTTTCAACGCGTGACTCTCGCCTTCGTGCCGCGCATATTCGACTCTTTGCTAATGTCAGAGCTTCACGACTGGAGGCTGGGTTGTTTCCAACATGTGGTCCCCGCGGTATCACTGCGCACGTCCGTTTCGAAACAGTGCAAAGAGTTTCACGGATTATGGCGGCTCCTTTTCGCCATTCGGCTCCCCCCGTAGCGCCGCGCGCATTTGAATAAAGAAAACACAGCAATTACAAGGATGCTCACGGTAGCGTCCCAGAAACGGTGTTTGGGCAAGCTGTCGGACTGTCAGGGCGCAAAGTTACGATGACTCGTAGTGTTGAAATCCTAAGGATTGTATTTTGGCACGATCCAGGATCGTCAAGACGCAACAGTAGCGGTGATTCGCGGCGTTGAAGTCCGAGAAGTGCGTTCTGGCACACTTCTGGATGTTCGAACTATTGTTTTTCAACAAGGCGCTTCCTCCAGCGAAGATGACCCCTTGCAAGGGCCTATTGTGACAGAACCTGGAGGGAAGGTTGATTGCAATACCGTTGATGGATCTTGGGTCGACAACGGTCCTCCTCCTGCTCCTCCTCGAGCGTGCCCGAGAGGCGCAGTCCTCGGTCATGCCCACGGCGCAGAAGCCGACGAGCGCTCGACCTGAAATCGAACCGCCGGGAGGATTGCCTGCGCACGCCGCGTGGTTATTGCACCCTGCGGCGACAGAGGTAATCCCGCCAGCCCTCTGGGCGTCGGTGGTTTAGGGAGTTTCCTCTTCCACCCCTCCTTTTTCCCCTTCGGGGAGGGGTTTACCCCTCCCCCTCTGCGTGCTCCTGCGACTTTAAAATGACCCTCGGTATCGGCCTCTGTCCTACGGGTACCTTCTGCCGCACCTGAATACAAACGCAAACTGGCGAGTGGTCCGAGATCCCTTTGGCGTGCAAATCTTCAGGGCCCTGGCTGACTTCACCTCCCGTAGAGTTCTGAGTGCGGACCCGGCCAGGGGCCGACGCAAATATCCGATCGATGAAAGAAAGTTTGTTCGTCCCAGGGTGGAAGTCGGCAGGGGCTCCCAACTGGAATTCGACCAAAGGTCCTAGCGCGTCGCGCCATTCACGCGGATGAAGAGGTGGAGGATCAACAGGGGCCGCTTCAGGGTCAGGAGCGAGAGCATGATAAGGAATATGGCTACAGTTGAAGTCGCCAGCAACACAGACGAGCCTGTCCTGTGGCTTCTCCCTGCTACTGGTAGTATCAGGTGGATTTTTTTGAGAAGCGAGACGTCTCTCCTGCACGGTAAGATCATGATTATGAACGCTGAAATGGGAAATCCACGAGCGACCATCAGGGGAACCCATCTTCGCGTGAAGAACACGTCCAGGGACCAGAACTTCCGAGGAAACGAGGGGGGAGGGGAGAGCCAACAATCTGTTGCCGAACCTCAGACTCCTGGAACATGGGGGAAAACGTGGCGAGACCACCAATGCGACTGGCTGCCGCGGCTGCGTCCTGTCCAACTGTCCAACAGCAGCCGACGGTTCAACCTCATCACTGTGAGAGACAGGCAGGGTAACGGAGACAGTGAACTGAAAGGGGACATGGAAATGATGCACGAAGTCTTCTTGATCATGTACATTGCCGTGCGCTTCCTGAACTGCAACAGTGGCTCCTGGCTGCAGGGGGCTCGCGAACAACTTCTGTTCCTTACATCTTAACTTAGAATTGTGATGCAAGACAACTGCTCCGTGCCATGTGGCAAGACGGATAGGCGCGGCCGAGCGCCGATGCCCGCTCCACAGCGCATGCAAATTGCTAGACACACCACTCAGCGTCATCCTCGACTCCAGCGAGAGCCGCAGTGACGCCAGTGCGCAGAGCCTCGGTGTCGAAGCCCAGCGCGTCGAGGTTGCGGATCTTCCAGCGCAGCGATGGCACCTCGTTGTGCTGTGGCGTGATATCCAGCAACTCTTTCCATTGGTGGGGCAAAATGCCCTTCTCACGATTGATAAAGACACGGCGGTCTGGGTGCTTGGTATCGACTCACGGTATTCGCCTTCTTGCAGGCCATCTCGCGTTTGATCTGGAACGGGGATTTGTCTGGGCCAGCAAACACCTCCAATTTCTGGCGGCCCAGGGCTTCGACATGCAGCTTCTTCCACGCTCCGCCAGGGGCCTCCGGTTTGAACACACACAGCGGCTGGTTGACCAAACGGCTTGCATAGTTGGTCGGGCACTTGAACTTGAGTAAGAGCCTCTTCGCCGACAGATCGCCCTGCACCTCCCACTGTTGTACATCGATTGCACACTGCGCAGTCCATTGGCGACATAGCACCGCGACCGCACCACGGGATACTATCGTGTTCGCACGAAGCACGATGATCGTGGGATCCACGTTATTGTCGAAGTTTGTGCCCGCAGCGGATGGGGGGAACCAGAGCCACAGCCGACTGAGCGACACCCAGCTCACGCCTGGGCGCCTTGATCTCCGCGAACACGCCGTCGATCCGAGTCGCAGTGACACGAACTCTGTCCTCGAGGGGGGCGATGCGTTTCTCGACTTGCTTGCCGAGACCCACACATGACTTGTTGACCTTTTTCGCCGTTTCTGCGAGGGAGAAGTTGACGGCAGTCTGTACACCAGCGAGCTGCGAGGCGAAGGTCGACTGCATCTCGTCGATGTAGTGCTTGAGCTCTTTCGCGGAAGGGGCGTCCTCCAGCAGCTCGACGTCGTCATCATCAGCACGGCCACCACGAGGAGGACCGACAGGAGCTTCACGCTTACGCCCGTCACCTGTACGAAGAGGGGTTGCGATGTTTCCGAGGCCACTTGCCTGCGAACCTGGCGACGGGAACGTTGGGCAAGCTTCGAACTGGGCTGCCAGCTCTGCATGGTCGCCATGGCTAGCCATTCCTCGCGGCTACTCTGGTAGCCGCACCCACAGAAAATGACTAAGGCGAGCAATCAGCTCACGGTGCACGAGGGCTGTCTGTGAGGATCGTGAAAGAAAGAGCGTGGTCAGCACGACCGAGAAACGTCGACGGATAGGTCAAAGCTAATCGCTGATTCTCGGGTCCCCGACCCTTCACAACGTTTAGCCTTGAGCCAAAATGGCAACGGACCCTCCTGCTGCTCCTCCTCTGCCTCCTCCTCCTCCTCCTCCTCCTCCTCGGCGGCCTGCGCAATGGCGGCCCGCAGCTGGTCCGCCGACCTTAGTGAGCAGAGAAACTACGCTCACAATGAGCACACAGACAGGCGAAGCCGTTCAGTAAATGCACCCACGGCAGGAATCGAACAGGGCAGAGCTGTTTAGTAAAGGCCCACGGCGGCTTAGTCAGAGTGAGGGGGCCGAACAGTCACTGTCATTGGGCTTGTGGCTGAAGCGGCGTTCCGCGGTGCGGACCGATGTTGTGTTGAAAACCCGCCACCGTGCCGCTGGGCACGGAGTGGGCGAGTCCTCAAGTCCTTTGCCTCATCTCTTAAGCGTCTCAGTCCTGACTCATGAGAAATTTCGCGGGGTGTCGGACCCCAAATTCACAAATCTTCTTGGGTTTGGCTCTGTTCCCCTGGGTTCCGGGGCATCTTCTCGCATGCCTTTTGGGTCCCACGAGGGCCCCAGGACGGACCAAGATGGCCCCGGAAGGCCCAATGATCGTTCCAAGAAGCTCGATATGGCCCCCAGATAGCCCAAGAAGCGTCCCGGACGCACCGAGAGGCCTCCAAGGGACATGGAGGGCACGAAGAAGCAACATTCATTGATGCCCGTTAGGTTTTAGAGTTTTTGGATTTCTCGCCTTTTCGGCCTTCAGGACGGCCCAAAAGGCATCCAAGACCGCCAAAAGGCGGCCCAAGAGGCCCCCAAGAGCGCGCCAAGACGGCCCAAGAGAGCCCTAAGACGGCCCCAGAGGCGCGTAAGACGGCCCAAGAGGCCCCATAGACGACCCCATGAGGGGCCCAAGAGGGGGACCACGAATCGAAGATTTCAGCTATCCGCCTCAAGATGGCCCCAGGAGGCTCCAAGAGGCCTCCAAGAGGACTCCAAGAGGCCCCAAGAAACGCCCAAGAGGCCCCAGGACGCCCCCAAGAGGCCCAACCGAGGCCCCAAAAGAACACAAGACGGCCTCCCAGGGGCCGCACAACTGCATTCAAGGCCCCTCTGTCGTCGTCGTCGTCGTCGTCGTCGTCGTCGTCGTCGTCGTCGTCGTCGTCGCGCCGTCGTCGACGTCGTCGTCGTCGTCATCTTCGTCGTCGCCGTCGCCGTCGCCGTCGTCGTCGTCTCCTTCTTTGTCCCCAGTCCTCCTCCTCCTCCTCCTCCTCCTCCTCCTCCTCCTCCTCCCCCCCAGAAACAGCGCAAGAAGGGATACGCATCTATACACCAACACACATATGTATCTATGTACATACATATGTTGTAATGTTCATTTGTATATGCGTACGTATACGTTTATGTTTGTAGATGTCCATGTATATGCATGTATGCGTATATGTATGTATTTGCATGTGGAAATGTATATGTACGCGTATATGTATATCAAACGCATATGTACTTATATATGTATATATATATGGATATGTCTACGGATATAGTTATATGTGTATGTGCAGATGTGTCTGAATTTGTGCATTCATATGTATATGTGTGTAGGTATGTGTTCATGATCAAGTTTTACATGTGTATATGTCTGTACATTTGTGTATGTGCACGTGCATGTGTGTGAATGTGTATGTGCATGTACGTGTCTGCGCATATGTCTTTATAAATGTGCATGTATATGCATACTTGTATGCATATGCATATGCATATTGTTTGTGTATGCATACGCATGTGTATATGTATACGTATATTGGTATGCAAATGTATATGTGCACGTAAACGTATACGCATACGTTTATGTGTGTGTGCATGCATCTGTGTATATGAATATATACATTTCTAGATGTGCGAATGCAAATGTAACTGTACAGGTAAGTGCACGCGTATGTGAACATGCGTATGCGTATGTATACGTTCGCGTAAATGTACATGTAAATGTATGTGCATTCATTCCTGGTCTCGTAGATGTCTGCGTCTCTTCATCTGTATGTGTACATGTATATGTGTATGTGTATCGCCCCCCCACTCCGCCCCCAGGAGGTCCCAGGAGGCCCTTTTCTGTATTGGGATGTGTGTTCGAGGAGTGCTTTTGGCCCTCCGTAAGCTTCGCCCCCACAGGCTTCGCCGCCGCTCGAATCCTTAGTGATTTACGTATGTTCCTGTAGAATGCCCCTCTCCGGAACTCGAACCCTTCGTGTTTCGAATCCTCACCGCTCCCCATCGTCGCACTGAAAGTTGTACGTGTTGTGCGAGCTGATAGTGGGAAAGTGCGTCGAGAGAGGTGCTGGCTCGACCTCCTTGGACGGGAGATCTGGGTGTGGGAATACTGGCCCCATTTTTCTGTCAGTTCTCCCAAGAGGGGGTGGCATCATGATCGATGCATGTGGCATGCCTGAGCACGGCGCATGAGGGTAAAATGATCGCTGTTGCTGTGCTGTTGTTATCGTCACCGTCGCCCGCGACCCACCCCGCGACCCACCCGCGACCCATCCGCGACCCACCCACGTCCCAACCACTTCTTCCTTTGACAAAAATTTGGCGCCTGCGGCGATATGTGATGCAACCTGATTTGTAGCTGTCATTATTACTATGTTCTTACTGTGAACTATGATAAGTTCATTCTTGTTTGGGCTTCGACAGAGCGTCGCAGAATGCCGACGACCCCGCCGCCCACTCCATCTTATCCGCAACAGCGGGGCGCAACGCAAGCGCCATTCGTGGGGGTCGCCATGCTTCTCCCTCCCCTGGGGACCTGCTCTCCACGGCCGCCCTGAGGGCGGCGGCGGCGGCCTCGGCGGCCTGTTCCTCGGAGCCCCCGGCGGGGGGCGGGCGGGGGGGGGAGGCGGGGCGCCGCCGCCACCGCGGGCGCAACTCGCTGTCGTCGGCGCCCTGGTCGTCGTCGGTGTCGCGCGCGACCGGTTGCGTGGTGGTTGTCGCTCGCTGGTGGTCGCAGTGGTCGTAGTCGCCATCGTCTTCGTCGTCGTGCCTCTGCAGGTTCGAGGTCGTACTCCTCACCGTCGTCGTCGCCGTCTTCAATCGCGGTCATCGTGGCTAACACTAGTTCGTGATCATTGTCGTCGTCTTCGTCGCATGTCTTGGTCGTAACCACTTGTTCGTGCTGTTGTCGGCATCGCCGCCGTCGTAAGCACCGCCGTCGTCCGTCATCGCCATCATGCTCACTGCTTCGTCGTCGTTGGGGCCGGCCTCCTGGGCCAGCAGCGGGCAACATGCAACGTCCTGCCCTGTGTGTGCGGGCCCTGCTCCGCGAAGGCCGGGCCCAGAAGATCGTCGCAGCTGGTGAGTGAGAGCGGACAGCAAGATAGCCAGAGAGACTGCGCAAACCTGCGCGATCAGGGCCTGTAGCAGGTAGAGGACGATCGCGGCGTCGCGAAACTGCCGCAAGCGCCACATTTCCATCACGGGCCACGCGCGGCAACAAGGGACCTTCAACAAACACAGGGCAAGACGAATTGGCGGCGAGGCAGGGGCCTTCTTTGGAAGCTCTCCCCAATTCTATTACAGCCGTCATGGAAGCCCCTGGGCCCTTCCAAGAAGCCCCGCCGCCTTCTTAAAGGCCACCCTCCTCGCGCCACCCCCGTCTGCGCGCCGCTAACATTCGGAGGCGACTTCTTGGAGGTCTTCGTGGGAACGAAAAAGGAGCCCGATCACAATTATTTGCTTCGATCGATCCTCACCGAAACCTTGGGCCCCTCTCCTCCTCCTGCTGCCCCATGCCTCCTTCCCCTCCTCCCCCCTCCCCCCTCCCATCCATAGACTGAGGGACGCAGGCGAGGAGGACGCCCGCGGCAGGGCGGCGGCAGGGACTGCGGGATTCTCGGGGCAACTGGGGGTCTGGCCTGGTTTTGGTTTGTTCTGTGATGTTCTCTTGTGCTCTGGTTTGTTTTGTTCCGTGATGTTATGTGGTTCTCTGGTATGTGACGTTCTGCTCTGAGTTGCTATGTGATGTTCTGGCGTGCCCTGTGCTTTCATGTTATGCATTTGTTTGCAATGTTCTGTTTTGCTCTGTTCTGCTTTGTCGTGTTATGTCTGCTATATTGGTCTGTTCTGGCGTGGAATGCTCTGGTATGTTCTGTGCTGCTATGCCATGATCTGTTTGTAAACGCACTGCCATGTTATGATCCGTCATGATATGTCATGGTTGTCTTATGGTATGGTGTATTAGATTGTGGCACGTTGTGTTATGTAGTGTTCGTCGCCGTACCCTGTTGTCGTGATATGATATTATTTGATGGCTGTATCATCCTACGTTCTGTTCCGCCAAAGTGTGTTATGTTATGCTCGGTTCTGTTATGTTATATTGTGTTATGTCATAATATGCCCTGGTATGTTTTATGATGTTACGTGTTGCTTTTGCTTGGCACTGTATTGCTACATTATGTGATGCCATGTTCTGTTATGTGATGCTGTGGTTTGTCGTGTTTTCGTCGTCACGTCGTGACGCTTGTGACGTTAGATGCGTCGTCTGTGATGCGTCTCCTCTCAACGTATATGCTTCTGTTCTGGTTGTGCACGTTATGTTATGCTCAACTCTGTCAAGGTATGCTTGATAATGTGATGGTATGGTCTGCTCTGTGCCAGTATGTCATTGTATGGTATGTTTATGCCAGGTGATGGTCTTGTGTATTGGTGCTGGGTTATAGTGTATTATGGATTATGCTCTGTCGTGGTATGATATGGTGTGTTCTGCGATGCTATGTCATGATCTGTTGGTAAGCATACTGCCATGTTATGTTCCGGAACATCATGTCATGCTCGTATTATGTTATGTACTCTTCTATTGTGGAATGTTGCGCTCTGTCGTGTTCGTCACTATGCTCTGTTGTCGTGTTATGTTCTGTTCTGGTGCCATGATATGATATGTTCCGTCAAATTGTGTCTTGTTATGATCACTTCCGTTATGGTATGGTGTGTTCTATCGTTTTCTGTTATGTAATGTTCTGCCCAGATATGTTTTGTGATGTTATAAGTTGAATGATGCTGTCATGATCTTGCTATGGTATGTTCTGTCATGTTCTGTTGTGTAATGTTGTTGCCTGGTTTTGGTTTGTTCTGTGATCTTCTCTAGTGCTCTGGTTTGGTGTGTTCTGTGATGTTACGTGGTTCTCTGTTATGTGACGTTCTGCTCTGGCTTGTTATGTGATGTTCTGGCGTGCTCTGTTCTTTCATGCTATGCATTGGTTTGCCATGTTCTGTCATGCTCTGTTCTGCTTTGTCGCGTTATGTCTAATATGTTGGTCTGTTCTGGCGTTAGGTGCTCTGGTAAATTCTGTGATGTTCTGTCATGATCTGTTTTGTAATGGTACTGCAATGCTATGTTCCGTCATGATATGTCAACGTTGTTGTTGGTTATGTTATCTTATATTGTGACATGATGTGTTCTGTCGTATTTGTCCCTATGCTCTGTCGTCGTGGTATGATATGTTCTGAACGCAGTGTCATGATATGATGTGTCCCGCCAAGGTGCGTTATGTTATGATAAGTTATGTTATGTTAGTGTGTGTTATGTCGCATATGGTATGTAATGTTCTGCCCGGATATGTTTGGTGATGTTGTAAGGTGATTCATGTTGTCATGATCTTGCTATGTTATGTTCTGTCATGTTCTGTTGTAGAATGGTGTGTTGTTTCGAGTTTGTCGAGTGCGCGACTCGGGGATTCTCGGGACAACAGGGGGCCTGGCCTGTTTTTGGTTTGTTATATGATCTTCTCTAGTGCTCTGGTTTGGTGTGGTCTGTGATGTTATGCGGTTCTCTGTTATGTGACGGTCTGCTCTGGTTTGTTATGTGATGGTCTGGCGTGATCTGTTCTTTCATGCTATACATTGTTTTGTCACGTTCTGTCATGCTCTGTTCTGTTCTGTCGTGTTCTGTCTACTGTGTTGGTATGTTCTGGCGTGAGATGCTCTGGTAAATTCTGTGATGTTATGTCATGCTATGCTTTGCAATGGTACCGCCATGAAATGTTCCGTCATGTTATGCCATGGTAATGTTATGCGATGTTATCTTCTATTGGGGCACGTTGTGCTCTGTCGTGTTCGTCGCTATACTCTGTTGTCGTGTTCTGATATGTTCTGAACGCTGTGTCATGATATGATGTGTCCCGTCAAGGTGCGTGATGTTATGATCAGTTATGTTATGTTAGTGTGTGTTATGTCGTTTCCTGGTATGTACTGTTATGCCCGGGTATGTTTTGTGATGTTATGTTCTGCTCTGTGTTGTCATGATATTGCTACGTTATGTTCTGTCATGTTCTGTTGTGTACTGGTGTGCTGTTTCGTATTTGTCGAGTGCGCGAGGCGGGACTCCCAAGTACACTCGGGGACACTCGGGGACTCTCGGCAAAACTTGGGGTCTGGCGGCCACGGTATGCAGTCGTGTTTGTCGAGGGCGAGGGGGCGGGATCCCCAGGGACTCTCGAGGATACTGGGGGATTCTCGGGACAACTTGGGGTCTGGCGGCCGCGCTATGCAAGGTGGGGTTGGCCGGGGGGTCTGTTCTTGAAATCGAACAACCCCGACCTGTCGGGTGGAGAACAAGCCGTGAAGCGGGACAAACCAGATCAAGCTCAGGATTCAGCCAGGTGGAGCGGGACAATTAGCCTGGCGAAGGACCCAACCATATGCAGTTGTAAAACAGTCGTTGTATGCACCGCATTCGGAGGAGCTCCCCATGGGGCTACCAAACGTGTGACGGGTGTGCCAAAATGGGCGCGGTGGCCGCATGCAAACGCTGGTATTTGGGTCTTCGGTGTGGCTCCCTATGGAGGCACGAAGCGTGTGAGGGGTGTGCCAAAATGGGTGCGGTGGCCGCATGCGAACGCTGACACTTGGGCCTTCGCTGGGGCTCCCTGTGGAGCCACGAAGCGTATGAGGGGTGTGCCAAAATGGGTGCGGTGGCCGAATGCGAACGCTAGCATTTGGGCCTTCGGCGGGGCTCCCTGTGGAGCCACGAAACGTGTGGGAGGTGTGCCAAAATGGGTGCGGTGGTCGCATGCGAACGCTGGCATTTGAGCCTTCGCTGGAGCTCCCTATGGGGCCACGAAGCGTGCGAGGGGTGTGCCACAATGGGTGCGGTGGACGCATGCGAACGCTGGCATTTGGGCCTTCGGTGCGGCTTCCTATGGAGCCACGCAAACGTGTGAGGGGTGTGTCAGAACCGGTGCGGTGGCCGCATGCGAACGCTGGCATTAGGGCCTTCGGTGTGGCTTCCTATGGAGCCACGAAGCGTGTGAGGGGTGTATCAGAAACGGTGCGGTGGCCGCATGCGAACGCTGGCATTAGGGCCTCCGGTGGGGCTTCCTATGGAGCCACGAAGCGTGTGAGGGGTGCGCCACAATGGGTGCGGTGGCCGCATGCGAACGCTGACATTTGAGCCTTCGCTCGGGTTCTCTATGGAGCTAGGGAAAGTGTGAGGGGTGCGCCACAATGGGTGCGGTGGCCGCATGCGAACGCTGACATTTGAGCCTTCGCTGGGGTCCCCTGTGTGGTCACGAACGTGTGAGAGGTGTGCCAAAATGGGTGCGGTGGCCGCATGCTAACGCTGACACTTGGGCCTGCGCTGGGGCTCCCTATGGGGCCACGAAACGAGTGAGTGGTGTGGCGAAATGGTTGGCTGGTTCGGAGGGCGGAGGCAGGGATCAGAGGAGGAAGGGGAGCGAAGAGGAGAGGAGGAGAGGAGACGCGGGGCGCTGTCTCTTCAAAACAGGGACCCCACACCACAGGATGGTTGGGAAAAACCAAAACTCGGCGGGATGAAGCCAGTGCAGCAGGGCCTGCGGCCGCGGATG